CCCCCCCCTTGGCGCTCTAACCCTTTGATACTGTAAACAATTAGATTATTTTATCTAACATAATTCATATTTTGAAACATCTAAGGTTTGTGAAATCGGGTTGCAAAGATTTAGAGATTATGACAATTGACCTACTTTTGACATGACCTTCTGATAACCCCATCAAAACAAGCTTTTAGACTTTGATGATTGATGAATATTTTTTATTTAAAGTTGTTTTCTCTTTTCGGAAACAAACATTAACGATTGTTTTGTTTTCACTTATTTTTATTTGTTGTGAATCGGACTTACAACTTTATAATTTTCTTACCTCTATAAATTAAGTTGACAGTCCCTTTAATATTTAATATTTATTAGTTACTCGATGTGAGCAACCGCTCTGGCAATGGCTCCCATCCTCGTTATATAACTGCTCAAATACTAACTCCTGATGGAATACCGTTCTATGTAAACTGTCTTCACTTAGATCATAGGTTAGACAGCTAGATGCTTAAATATGGAGAAAAAAATTCAGAGCAAGAATGTTTGCATAGAGGGCGGGGAGGGGGGGGGGTCTCTTAGACTACTTAATATCCGAGGCGACACCCCCCCCCCCCCCCCCCCTCCCTAGTCGGGATGGGGGGGGGGGGGGGGGGCGAGATGGCAAAGTTGTTATGTTATCAATTCCATATTTGACCTTTTTTGTAATTAGATTGGAATGTTGACAATGTTATATAAACACTGTTAAAAATTTTAATCGTATTATATCGAATAACCGAAAGCGTTTTGAAATGATGAGGAGAAAGTTACGGCCGGATATTAAAACATTTTAATGGCATCGTTTTGAAATCGGAATAGATAAATTTTTTTGGGCGTTAAAAGTGTTTCACTAAAGTTTGCTTTAATTAATTATGTGAATTATTTTCTCGGGTCAAAGATATTAACCATAAAAACAATGTTTCAAAACTAAAATATATTTTCGAGTGGTTTAAAAAAAATATTTTTGGTTGGTATAATAAAAGCAAAATGGAATTTTGAAATACGATTTACACCTCAAACTTTTTTCGAGCCTCAGTACACCTAACATTTTCTTTTATATTCTGAACAAAACATTTGTAATATCGAAATGATAGATATTAAGTGATGGATTTATGTTGTTATATTTTAGAGTGGAGCCGAACCGAATGAAAGAGTTGGCATCTATTGAAGGAAACCTAAAACCATTGTTTGAAAAGAATGCACCTCAGATCTGGCTGGGCGATTATAACAGGTGGTATAACCCTATTTGATGGGTACAATTGGTAATGTTACATCGTCTATACGCAACATCCCCCCTACTGAACTTTTGACCTACTAACTATCGGACCTACTGCAACATCGGACCTACGCCAGCTGTTTGTTTTGTATTATTTGAGGGTTAGGTTAGGTTAAGACAATTTCGTGGGCCGAGCGCTGCGGCTTGGACAGGCTAGGTGCCGAGTGCCGCGGCTAGGACAGGCTAGGGGGCTGGGCGCTGCGGCCACAAGTCCATTTAGCAGCTGTAAAACCACGGACTAGTATGTCTAATGTGTAGTACAGTGGATTTTTCGTAAGTCAGAAGTGAAGTATAGCGGATTTGCGTAGGTCGAAAAATGCAACCGTACAATCCCGAAGGCATATTTCTTAAATCAAATCGTTCCAATTCTATTAATAACCAAAGCATGATTCAAGTGACGCTAGCTTGCCAATAATAAATTGACATGTCCTTTCAATAGAATTTATCTGCAAAGGAAACTTGCAGATAGAACACATTTTTAGATGAAAAAACAATATATTTGCCTTATTGTTTGAAGAGTACTTTTGTAATACTTAAAATTAAGTTTAAGTTTTTATTCAATTTCAAGGGAATTTATCACACATAATTTTTCCCGTTTTAGGGTGATTAAGTGACTTTATCGCCCTACAACAGGGCGAAATAGTAACTTTATCACCCTGCTATAAAAATTTCAAATTTCACACCATAATATTTTTGTTTTAGGGTGCACAAAGTTACTTTATCACCCTATAACATAAATCCATGAGTCTTAAGGAGATCAAGGCATCCCGAGATTTGCACAATATACTAGTTCTGCAGACTTCTGTGAGACTAACTTATGCTAGAGCTTTTTATTATTTATGTATTATTGTATAGTTTGACAGAGGAGGATTACGAGAAGACAGAATGGGAAGAAATTGCTAATGTTAGGAAAAAAAACTCATGGGAGTCACCTAAAACACAGGTTGTTCAATATTTTTGGAATCTTTTTTTCTCCGTTTGTATGTACGTTACTGTTTAAAAAGATATTGTTAATCACAATCATCCTATAAATATTTCAATTAAGTTTATTAGAAGAAGAAAGTTAAAAAAAAATTTAATAATCTTAATAGTTTATTTGCTGTTAGAAGTCGATTGCTTTGTCTCAGGGGCGTAGTCAGGAATTTTACAGGGGGGTGGGGCTCAGGACCTGTTGGGGCCTGAACACTCCATGAAATCATATAGATTTCACTGGTCAAGGGAGGGGCTTTGCTCCCATCCCAACTAGCAAAAACCCATGGAGAACACAAGATTATCTGGTGTATTTCATACGAGTGACCTGTGAATATCCTGTGATATTCACGTGGTATCATCAAGGTGAATGTCGACGATTTGACAACGGGTCTAACTCGGAAAGCGTGAGTCCATTTCACAAGATGTACACAGGAGTTTTAACACGAGAAAATTATTTTTGTCCCATTTATACTCAAATTAAATTTTTTACATCCCGAGAAAGGTGGGGGGGGGGGGATATATTGTTGATTTCTGATATATAAATATACTATAGAAAATAATAATATTGAGTAATAGTATTTAACCATTTCAAAATGTTCAGAAACTAAATATCTTAGTTTATATCTTTTAAATTTAACATCTTGAACAAGTAAAATCAATATTTACAAAGTGATATTTTAAACCTGCAATGTTCAACTCATAATAACATGAAAGCCCCTTCCTTTGCTATATCTAAAAGATTGATATTAAAAAAAGGGGTTGTTGAGAAATACAATACAAAAATCAATGTGAAACTTTTCTGTACTTCTGAAAAATTTATATCAGTTAAAATTTTGCATTTTAATTTAGTTTCTAAAAGATGAGCAGAGACACCAAGTGTTGTGATTTTGAACTCTATTAAAAATGAAACATGAAGTTCTTTCCGGCCATGATGTCTCATATATTTTACAATTGATATTTACAAGAATTAAAATCTAGATATTCTGGCATTCCATTACTCATGATTAACACGTTGGGAATATGCGAGATCTTGCACTGGTACAAGAACAACATGTGAACAAACAACGAGAATTGAACTAGAATTATCTCCTATAACGTGATAATTACGATAATCAAAATTAAAATTATTGCATTAATCGAGTTTACCACAATGGGAATATGTAAGATCCTTCACTGGTATTTTTTCTACGTGGCAAAACATGTGAAAAAACGACGGGGAATTTTTACCACGCGTGCTTAACACAGGAAGAATCTTCAAGATTGTGAAAATTAGCTATATACCACGAGTATAACACTAGGAGGGGCCGTGAATTAATCACGTACATCATCAACCAGTTCTCCTCCATGGTAATCTCGTTGAAAACCTGTTTTTTCCTTGTTTGGATAGCTGACTACGCCTCTGTTTCGTATCATAAGCCAAGTGGATGAAAAACAACTAAAATAAAATAATATCAATAAATAAAAATACTACAAATTTGAAACAAAATGTATGATTTGACCCGTGTAATTTTAGGAAATTTTTCTAAATAATTCATGATAAAATAATCCTCTAAAAGAATTTAAAAGAATTATATTTTTGCAACATATTCCTTTTTTCGTATACCTATATCTTTGCAACCCAATGTCGTAGACTTAATTTATTTCACACTTGTAATCTGTTTGATGAAATAATCTAAGTTTGAAATATCAAAGGTTTTCACCATTAGGTTGCAAAGTTATGGGATTAAAAAATTCGAGTTCGCGGCAAAGACTCAATTCCTTCTCTGAATAACATATGTGACAATTGGGTAATGTTGCATCGTCTATACGCAACATCCCCCCTACTGAACTTCTGACCTACTAACTTTCCGACCTACTGCAATATCGGACCTACGCCAGCTGTTTATTTTAGTATTATTTGAGGGTTAGGTTAGGTTAAGACAATTTCTGGGCCGAGCGCTGCGGCTAGGACAGGCTAGGGGGCCGAGCGCCGCGGCTAGGACAGGCTAGGGGGCCGGGCGCTGCGGCCACAAGTCCATATAGCAGCTGTAATACCACGTGCTAGTAGGTCGGATGTGTATTATAGAGGATTTGGCGTAGGTCAGAAGTGGAGTATGGCGGATATGTGTAGGTCAAAAAATACACCACCGACAAGTGTTTTAAACTTTACATACAGAGTTACCCAAAAAACATAAGACTTGAATGCCGACCAAAAAAGTCTGTGAACTTGTTTATCTGAAATGTTAATTCTGTATTTTATTGTTAATTTGAGATACCATACATTATTTGGTAAGAAAGAGCTTAAACTTAAACTGAATGAAAGTTTGAATGTAAGAAATAAGAGCTAACCATTTTCGTGCAGTCAAAGTCTCATTCTTTGTGGGTAACCCTGTATCTGTATCTGTAGCTAATTTAACATTATAAGCACGATAAATACTTTATATTGCTATAAGGAATTGACTATTAACTGAGTATGCCTGATAAAGTGCTTCAATATGTATTCATGTTAGCTAAAGCTGGCCAAACAGCTGGAAAAAAATTGTAAAAAAAATTTGGAGGAAACCCATTGATAGGGTAATATAGGCTAAACAAATTCGATTTTTTTATTTTCTTCAAAATTCGACATTGTTCTCCATAGTGTTTTAAAATTCCACGGGCAACGCCAGGCCATAGCTGGCCAAACGGGTGAACAGAATTGGCTGAATTTTTTTTGGAAAACGCAGACAAAAAAATCTATTTTTTTTATATCGTAATTTTTTAAAATCAAACTTTTTTCATCCACATTTTTTTAAAATTTTTTTCAAATATTTAAAAAATTCAACGGAAAACGCCATGCACTTCAGATACTATATTACAATATGTCTAGGTTACCTCAAGAATGGCGGAACTGGGATTTAAGGACTCCTGGAAATTAATGAAGAAACCACTCCCTGTCTCAACCTGTAGGTTAGATCTTTCAACATTTTTCGCTAAATATCTATAACTAGCTTGGGAACCCAACGTTGCACAGATAAGTCACAGTAAGTCCCACCATTTACCCGAGCTTTGTCGTTAATTACGATTTTGGCCATTTTCCCCTTGCACTCAACTTAGAATCTCCAAACAAAGCTAACAACAGCTAACAACATTATAAATAAAGATATCACGGTAAATATAATAAAATCTATGTACAAATGGTAGCACCACGGGAATGTTCATAGTTTAGCTTGTGTTCAGGTAAAATACTCATAAAGATTACTTGATCATTAACGAACAATTGTGTTTAGGTTCAATACTCATATAGACTACTCGTTCATTAACGAACAATTGTGTTTAGGTTCAATACTCATATAGATTACTTGTTCATTAACGAACAATTGTGTTCAGGTTCAATACTCATATAGATTACTTGTTCATCAACGAACAATTGTGTTCAGGTTCAACACTCATATAGATTACTTGTTCATTAACGAACAATTGTGTTCAGGTTCAACACTCATATAGATTACTTGTTCATCAACGAACCATTCAGAAAACTATTTGAACTCAAAAGTATTCTCCATCATGCTAGTCAGGTATAGTTTTACTTTTAATAAATAAAATTTGAAAAAATGAAAAAAAATGAAATCAAAAATAGAATCTGAAAGGAATTGATTACTTACCTCAAACTCTAATTTTTTAATCCTTCGAGTAATCAGTTCCCTTTAAACCTATTCCTGCTGGGGGGGGGGGGGAATTTTACCCCCTGTATTTTGTTTACATAACTCAAAAAGTTTTGATCTGAGACTGTTGAAACTTTATGACTTTTCCTATAACAAACTAAATCTTTGTTTAAACCCACTTTCAGTTGTCAGATTTTGATAATTTTTTTATTTTTTTTGAAAGCTTAGGACACAAGGAAACGGATAGCACAGAAACTTTTGCAAATTATTTGCTTACAACCCGTCAAAAGAAATTTGCACATTTTTTGTTTTTCTTAATCACGCATCAGAATATTTGAAATTCAGCAAACATTTTTCAAAAATGTATGTTTTATCATTTTTGGACATTTTTTGCGAACATTTTTATGGATTTTGCAACAAAAAATAAAATTTTTGCAAATTTGCAATTGTTTGCAGAATCTTAAAGTAGAGCATAAGAGCTTTCCAATGATGTATCATTTGTCATATTTGGACATGTGATTTAGAGGGGGGGGGGGGTTCAAAAATTAAACATTTTGGGGTCTCCAATAAAAAGATTGGGGTCTCCAACGAAAAGTTTGGGTCTTTAATGAAAATCGGGAGTCTCCAATAAAATCTGGAGTCTTGATAAAAAGTTAATGGTCTCCAATGAAAATCTTGGGATTTTAAATAAAGATCTTGTGGTCTCCAATGAAAAATAATAGTAGCAAACGAAAATGTGGAGAGTTCCAATTAAAATCTGGGGATCTCCGATGAAACTCCGTGGGTCTCCGATGAAAAGATTGGGGTCTCCGACGAGACAATCATGGAAGTCTCTGATGAAAGGGGGTCTCTGATATGTATTCCAATGATGATGATTTCTTCCTAGACTCCCATGCATTGGTCTTTTCAAGAATAATGAAAAACTAAAATTTGCAGGCCATAATCACGTAATAAGAAACATTAACAATTTTTCCCGGTCAGTTTTCGTAGCAATTTCTTTAACAAAATTCTAATATTTATGCATGTGCATAAAAAAATGTTTATTATGTAAACAAAATTTGTTTTATAAAGTCAAATCAAAATGACTAAATACTGAAAAAAGGGTCCTAACTGTTCAGCGCACATATATTTGGGCCAGTTGACAAAATGGTAATTGGCAAAACTGACTTTTTAGCGTCCACCCCCCCCCCCCGCGTATCCTGGTTTTCAAGTACCCCAGCAGGGATAGGGTTAACATTATTTATAATTTTAGGCTTCGGACCATGCACCTGTTGTTGGCGTTTTTGAGCAAGTTACATTCTCCTAAACACCCGAACACCCTAAACTATAAGTCTTCTGTGCGAACTGCAGGAACTACAATGATCTGAAAGAGTGGGTTTTAGTGGAGAGTGCGTTGTTTAAGAAATCACGAAATTTTGTTATAAACAATACACTATAATCTTGACTATATACGTAACGTCGCAACGTAACGTAACGCCTTAGACTTTGTTTTACCGCACCAACTCACTCACACATTTTGTAGCTCTAGGCATATACTTTTAAAACTACAAAGAGCATGTTTCTAGTTCATAGTTAAAAGAAGTTATTGGCAAAATACTGCATGATTTTTGCGTCAGAGTGAGCACTCTTTGTTTGCAGTAAATATAGTTTAATCGAACCTTGAAAATTGGATAAATGTAAAAGTATATTATTTTCAGTTTTAGTAAAATCTTTTTTTGAATTCTTGAAAAATTACATTATTGTCTTCATCTTGAATAAAGAGTTGTATGGAAAGAATTATAGAATTCTCTGTATTTTGAATCAAAAATTGTATAATATAAGGATAGAATTCTCTTTATATTAAATTAAGGATTGTATAATAAAAGGATAGAATTCTCTTTATCTTGAATCAAGAATTGTATAATTAGAGGATAGAATTCTCATGATCTTGAATCAAGGATTGTTTAATATAAGAATAGAATTCTCTTCATCTTGAATCATGGATTGTATAGTATAAGGATATATTTCTCTTAATATTGAATCAATGATTGTATAATAAAAGATAGATTTCTCTTTATAATTAATTAAGGATTGTATAATATAAGAGAATAGAATTCTCTTTATCTTGAATCAAGGATGGTATAAAATAAGGATAGAATTATCACACAAATGTTGTTAAATATATGCTTCAAGCCCCCAGGATCTCCACAGAAAACTGGAGTGGTCAGTCTTACAACTTCTACCCCTGGGCCCTGGCTGTCCTCCTTCCAGCACTGATTCCCCTTGTCCAATTGTGACAACCCTGTGGCAAGGTACACCTCACCCACAATGCCATCGCGCTGGACAAGAGGAGTCCCCTCAACCACATGCTCAACTGGGACTTCTTCAATGTCAAATTAATTGACGAATTTGGAAATATCAACATCTTTGGCAGAGACGTCAACCAGTTTTTTGACCTCCTTCCCTGCTATGAATCCATCCAAGAAGTTGCTGAATACCACTCCCCCAAGATTCAAGACACTTGAAACCAACCTGGAGGTCATGCAGGAATACCACAAACTGGAAAACCTCCAGTGTTGCTCTCACTCAGTCACTGGTCCAGAACATCACAATAAGCCTCCCTCTGGAAGTGAGGTCGCCATTTTACTACCAATTCACCCTATTCTAAGAACTTTCAGCTACATTTGTAAAACCTAGGTGTGGTAATTTTAGATTCTATGACACAGAGATGTCTCTATAGAAACCTGCACTGTAGTCTAACATAATTCATAATTTAAAAACTTGCACTGCAGTCTAACATAATTCATAATTTAAATCTCAAGAGTTTAATTTTTTTAAATAATGCAATAAAATGAGAACTACTGGCTCTGACAGAAGATATAACTGCATAATGCAAAAAAGACTGAATTTAGCAAAAGACACACATACATCTTAGATTGATGTCTGTCTGTCTGTTGGATGCTGTCCAATGAACGTGAAAACGGCTGAACCAATCAGACACATTTTTTGAATGACAACTTTGAACTTGTGCCTTTGAAAATAAAAATATTTATCATTTGTCTTAAAAATGCATCAATTTAAAAGGAAAAATCTGGGAAAATGTTACAGCTACCTTCTGAGCAACAGTTGAAAGATAACAAGTTTTTAAGGCACAGGGGCGAGAAGCACCGTATAAGCCTGTATTGTGAACTGTTGCACTACTACCCATAAAACTGTGGGTTAAGAAGCTGAGATTTAAGCATTATTATGCATATTCACATAATTGTTAACCGTCATGGTTCTTTACTGTTTTGTTGAACGTTAAGAGCTGAAAACTTTAGAATGGAATATCCTTAATTCCAATGGTTTAATTAATCTGGAGATTAATAACAAGAAAATTTCAAGCATTATTTAATCTCGAGATTAGGAAAAAAATGAGATCAAGCATTGATCTTGATATTTAAAATTCTAAAGTTTTCAGCTCTGATATCATGTACTTATTTCATTTTTGTCATACTTTTTCAATTTGATTTTTGTACTACGGTAGATATTGAATTTTCCTAAATATCATATAATTCAATAAAACGAAGTGCAACTTGAGAATGTAGAGAGTGTTCTATCTGGATTAATACTTACTTGACGAATACGTACAGGGGTTGTATCTCAATTGATAGATACTGACGGATACAGAGGTTGTATCTGGATTGACACTGACTTAAGAAAACTTATTGGAGTAAGGCATTCGTTACAACATATTCAAAAAAAATTAAAACATTTCATGAAATTTATTCCTTTCTTTAGAAGGTAGATATTTGAGAATATTCAATTAAGTATATTCTTTTTTTATGCATGTAACTTAAAGGTTGACCGTCAATTATAGGATTACAAATGACTCTCAATTCAAAGAGTTATCTATTAGACTTTTGATGGATATAGCCATTTTACCATTTTTATTTTGGAAAATTTACGATTTTTATTGCTGGATTTAAATCAAAGTAAATAGCAGATTTGTGCAGTACAGACAAGAAATGAATTAGCAGAATTAATCGCTTTTAAAAAAACTAAAAATACCTTGCTCATTTTTACTTGGGTTGAGGTTTATCTGTATATTTTTAAAAAATTTACACTCGAAACTCAACTTTTAAACAAAATTAATGGTGCAATTTTGTGACATGTACGACATGCACACTATTGTTTTGTACTGGTTTAAAATATTCAGAATTTAAATTATAACTTAAGAAAGTTAATTTTTGTTCTGTATTTGATGAATACGTTAACCAAGAAAACTATTTTTTAAAATCTTTTTTTTAAACTAAAAATTCTGAAAATAATGATAACGACACGCAATTTTTCAATGTAAATTTGTATCCCAGCTCCATCATCAAGACAAAGAATATTAAAAAAAAACATATTTAATAAAATAATCAACGTGAAAACTATCTGAGCAACCAAGTGGTATAGTTACTCTCATTTTTCTATTTCTAAAAGTGCTGAATTCGAACGATATCCTTTTTCTCTCCTGTTGCATAAATCCTGAAGTTACTTGGAAACCAAAATTAAAAAGTAAGAATATCACAACCTCAAAAACCAAATATTCAAATTTGAGGAAAATTCTCAAATAAAGTTTACGCTGAACAGTTAGGGCTGCAAGCTTTTTCAAACAAATTAAAACATGTTTCCCACTATTTTCTCCACTCATTACCCCCCCCCTCAAGACATACATCTTTCATATTTCTTTCATTCTATCTTTTTCCCTTTTCATTCTTCCTTCGGTTTTCCTTTTTACCTCTTTTACTTATCCTTCTTTTCTCTTTAATACTTCGTCGTTTCCTCATTCTTCCTTCTTTTTTGTTTTTCATTCTTCCTTCTTTCCTTCTTAGCATTTTCCAATCTTCCTTTTTTTCTCATTCTTTCTTCTTTCCTCCTTCTTTTTTATCAATCTTCCCTTCTTCTTTTTCATTATTTATTCTTTCCTCCTTCTTTATTATTCTTCCGTCTTCCTCATTCTTTCCTCACGCTTACTTCTTTACTCATTCTTTATCCTTTCCTCATACTTCCTTCTTTACTTTTCTTCCTTCTTTACTTTTCTTCCTTCTTTACTTTTCTTCCTTCTTTACTTTTCTTCCTTCTTAAAATCATATACTAGGACGGACCAAAATTCATTTTTAATTGTGGTTTCACCATAAACCAACGGTGATATCTTCCTTACTATTACTCAGATAAAGGTTCTTAGGATACGACATGCCACTGTGATGTCACTGGAATTTACATCTGTAGTCTTACTGCCATATCTTAACTATCCTGTATGTTTGATGTTTTAAAACAAAGTTTAGATTTTAGATGAAAGATATCGAAATATGGAGGGATTGGGGGAATTCACGAGTATTATGGAGGTAAGCAGTACTTTGTTATACGTCAGTTAATAAAATTTCATTATATTTGCTTTTTGCCAGGAAATGGGATATATATATTATAGATTTTTGCCAGGAAATGGGATATATATATTATAGATTTTTGCCAGGAAATGGGATATATATATATTATAGATTTTTGTAGTTCACATTCAAATTTTCAATTTTGAAATAATTAGATACATATGATATTTTTTTTAAAATCCCTGTACAACGGTGCATTAGATAAATTCTGAAATTAGACTTTGATAATTTTCCTGAAAAATCATTCTTTTGAAAATAGATTCCCCCTCCCCAGGAGTCAGGTCTACGGTATGTTTGCGCGGACCTGAGCGCAACCATTTTTTTGAGTTTTTTCGCTGAATTAAGGAAAATACATGATTTTTAGGAAAAAATGTGTGAGTAAAAAGTTTGAAAAAAAAATTTCAAAACCTCATTTTTCNCCTAGTTTAATGCTAAAAAAATATACACTTCAGCGTTTTATTTTGTTATTTGTTAAGCTTTCTTTATTATTTAGGAGTACATGACCAGCGATTATATGGATCCTGAACCAATAGGAACAAATCTGAAAAATAGTAAAAATCATATTATTATTTTTCCTCCAAAAATCATACCGTGAAATTGGAAATGGTAGACGAATTTAAAGCAATCCTATAAATGTTTATTGTGTATGATGTTGTTTTTTTAAGCAATAAGTTTACATGCATCTTGAAAACGAACTTAATATGTTTTCTGTGTCACACTAAAAGATAATTTTTTTTCATATTATTTAATATTTTTATTTGGATTTGTAGAAAATCTTTTATCTGAGGACCCGTACACTATTTGTTATGATATACTTTTGAGTCTAATAAACAACCTTCCGTCGTCTTCCTTATCCAACCTTCCACCTGAACCAAGTCTAGACTTTCCTTCCAACCTTCCTTCCAACACATCATTGATACATGATGCATCCCATACTACTTCCACTGATGCACATGATCATAAAACCTTCTTCCAACCGATCTCATTCTATGACGATCCCGACGACGATCCAATGTCGTTCGGGTTCTTTGATGCTGGTTCGGTCGATCTTCCCACCGATCTTTACGACACCCAATCTGATTTAAACACTGGGTTTCGGGGCTCGGAGCAAACTTTTCCCGGCTCGGAGCAAACTTTCACCGGAATAAATGTGCCCGAATCGTTTACCGAGAGCAGCCAAGGGACCACGGTCAGCGAAGCGCTGAAGGTCAGTGAAGGTAATGGGTCAAACGAGTGCAATATTGGGATTAGTTCTGCTATTCTCGAGGAGGTGATGGATACGATAAGTGTGAGTGGCTAAAGCAATAGTTTTATTTTAGCATTTATTTTGATTAACTATAAATTAATTTATTTATCACTTGTTTTATTTTTCTTTTTTGTACA